CCTCCTCGCCCAATTGCGCCTGAGATTAGAAATTCCAGTGATATACCTTAGGATAGGAACACAGCTTTGATCGACATGCTGTCAGTGAGACTATACCAAACGTCCACAACATACTACCAACTTCTGACTGCAGAGATTCAATCACTTTTCGTACTGCCGTTGCGAAATGCAAATTACTGCAAATTATCCTTTTTAATGAGAAAGTAAACAACAGCAAAACTGAATTACCTGATTATTCCTTCTCTAATAATACCACCATAAATCTCGGCAGTGGTTCGTAATTCACGTTCTGGATATTCATGGAAAAATCGATATTCTTCAAACAGGTTTTTTACGACACATGCCAGAACCTAAAATACGGTTCGATTATGACAAGATCAAGTAAATCCCACAAAGTGCTACCCACCTTTTGGTCTCGAGGATTCTGCGACATCTTCAAACCTTTCAAGCGCATTATCAAATCGCCCACAAGAGATGATTGATTGTAAATCTGTAAAAGGGGCGGGCTTGACTTATAGTCAATGAATTACAAAATTTCAGCGCTAGCACAGTTAGGGGTGGCACTCTGGCATTTATAGTGAAGAGGACGTGTTTGTAGTGATTTTGAATTTGTTGGGTACTCCCAAGGAATTTAAAAGTCACTACAGACACGTCTTCTTCATTGTAAACTTTGAGCAAATGCTGTTTGACAATCAATGGGGAGTGAAGGGGGACGAAAGTAGCGCCGGTGTGGAGCAGGACACATAATTGCGTTGCGGAAAAGTGTGCGTTGAAAATAATCCTTTCTCTAGTATAGCTCCCTCCCCCTCCCGCTCTAATACTCCTCCTTCGGTACAATCTCCTTTTGAAACCTTTCTTTCTTACCAAATTCTCCCCAGAATTTCGTTGTCGAGCGAGGGAGGCGGTGTAATGGGCATGAAACTAGAAAAGAGAAGAAAAATCAAAAATAAGATAAAAATCCTTTTTAGGTGACCCTGAGCCTTCCCTCACATAGGAACCAAATACAACTTCCGTTGGGAGTTCCACAACAATGATATGCCCTGACGTGTGTGAAGTGGTTTCCCGGTCGTATTTTCTCCTGAGAGATTTTCTCTGTTGATTTTTCCGTTTAATGTTTCATGCTATAACCCCCCCCCCTTCGGCTTCGCGGCAAAATGCTGGGGAAAGTTTGGTGAAACATTCTCATTCTAAGACTGCAACCATTTTTTCGCACCTTCCAGTACCAATGCTATTCAACATGAGAAGAAAGCAAAGAACCTAGGTGCAAACCAAGCTGAAGTTTAAAAAACCCCGTGCGAGAAATCGCGAACCCCCAACCCGACGAATTATTGTACAAAACGCCTCATGTTTAAGCGCCAAAATTCCTTAATACAAGACTATTCGCAAACACTAAGAAATGAGGTAAAAGCACCTACCTGCTCGAAATACATATTGGCTTCGTCCTGCACATCCTTCGGAAAGTTCATGTCATCGATGACGACAGGACCCGCACCTAATGGCATTGGAGCCGAACGAAGATCAACCTTAATTTCATGGTTTTCATGGTTTTGTTTTACATCAGTGTAGGCTTTGTGCACTTCACCACCTTCCCCTCACTACTCACTCATTTCGAGAAAAAATAAGAATGAAAGAAAGAAAGAAAAAGAAAGATGACCATACAAGATGATTGAAAACGCTCAGGAAAACGATGACGAAAAGGGATGAAATAAATGGGCAGGACTAAATAGTGTTATAAACAAAATACGCAGTTATGCCGCACCACTGAATAGAGGATAAAAGATAGAGTATTCGTCGTTACTCAATGCCTTTTTGGGGTGCGCCCACACATTCCCCTCCATTCAGAATCACAGGGGCTTTGAATGCGATGAGGCACACGCAACACTGTGAACTGCGGGGGACAGCAGATGTAAATCACTGTTAGAAATGGAGATGAAATAGGAAAGGAAACTATGTACAATTAGGGGAAGTAAATGAAAGACCAAAATAAAAAGAATAAGTGACAAGTCGGCGAATGAGGGACCCTCTAACCTCCCCCCCCCCTTCAAATGGTAAATTCAAAGGAGAGATGTGCTCGCCAGACAGGGCACTTAAGGGACTGTGTTCCGACAACTTCGCATAAACTGCATTTCAACCCCAAAGAAGAGCATCTTTTGGATACATGGAGGAGCTGGAACATAGGCAAGGCAAATTTTCTAGCAAAACTTGGATAACGATAATGTGAAACTTCCGTTCTTCGAAGGAACTGTTTCGCCAACCGTGGAGCTCCCTTCCTCCTTAGACTCAGGCTAGAAATCCTCGTCTTTCTATGTGGCATTGGTTTCACACAAGGAGCGTTTTAAATGCCCCAGGGCGAACATCGCCGAGAAATAGAGCACAAGTAAGGTCCAAGAGATGGAAATGAGAGGTATATGACAGACGTTAAGCATGAAGAGTTCTACCAGCCTTACTCTACGGTGGTAAAATTTCGGATTATTGTATGAAGGTGCTCGGCTTGGAGGGAGCATTTTGCTTTCGCTAACTCTTCTCTAGTTTCTTTTAAAACACGCGCCAGGTGAGACCTTCAGACTCATACTCTTGTCAAGTGTAAGCGACGCTCTTGGTACTTCACAGCTTTACAGGAGTTAACAGGTCTCCACAAACATAGCAGACCCCACCAAGCCATTGCGGATACTGTAGTGGATCTTAGGTGAATGTTACGCAACATAGTAGTTCAAACAGACGAATAAAAGAATTAATGAATATTTTGCCCCGATTCAACCCAGAAAACGGGCTCACCTGTGAAGACGTAGGCGGTGGTTGCGGTTGAAAATCCATCTGTTGGGATGGTGTAGGTGGACCCCGTTGTTGTCCAGGTCCTTGCATTTGCCAACCAACTCCGCTGGCCGAATTCTACAAGTCAGTAAAAATATTATCGATTATGTACCATTTCTATTTTGTTACCACGTGCTCGTACCTGTCGTTGCGGCGCTGGCGGCATGCCAGATCGCATCATTTGCGACGACGGTGACATTGCCATCGGTTGACCGCCAAACGGCTGATTTGCGCCAGGATGGGAAGACTAAACAGTAGGGCATTTAGCGTTATTCCTGGATGATCCAGGCTCATAAAAGAGGGTGTCAAAGATGGTTTTCAGGGTAAAGAAAGCAGATAAAAGGAGCAGAACAACAACTAAGGACGATTAGCGAAACCGATGGCGGTTATGGAAATTCATGCGACCACATTTCCACAAATAACAAGTCGTCCGTCTCAGTTTTCATTGCTTTGCTAAAACCCCCAAATAAAATGATTTCAAATCCTTACTCGAAGTAAATCTTGACTTCCACCGAATGCATTACTGCCAAACATAGATCCTAGTCCAACTGGATTCGATACAGGTTGTTGGGGGCCAGCCTGAAATGTGGATGTAAGCAACTTTACAATTACTGCCTTCCAATTCTAGCCAGAAGATCGGCTATGTTGAGTAGTTTCCACAGCTCAGAAACAAAGGGTTTGCTTTCAGATCAGTCGCACGTAATTTAACGAGGATATTGTTCAGTTGTGCGTAGCAAAAACACTTCAGAACTACTCCGAACCCATCAGCTCACTTTCAAAATTATTTATCCTCAATTACTTGAAGACAATCCCTGCGATTGAGTTTTACGGGTAATAGGTGCTCAATCCTAGTCCAGTATCCCATAAGTAACCCCCAGTAGAGGAAGAAGCAAAAAAAACCTGGGAACACTCTGAACAGAGACGCTCTCTGCAGTGGGCGCCTTGGACAAGTTTGCCGGGCGTCAGCAAGCTCAATTACCGCAAGTCTTGAATCCCCAAACCACCCCAAGACGCTCCAGGCAACGCTATATACACATGCAATTCTGTTTGTGAGCCGTTGTCAGCAAAATGGAAGTAATCGTGGCAATGGTTGCAATAATCACGCGTCTCTAGCTTTCTTTATCTTGCCTTTTCGAGTGACGATAAGTATACCACTGCGAATGCGGACAACGATGCCAAATGCACAGAGGCATTAGGCCACGTTCATAGCTTGCTCAGAATGCGGCACAAACATGCCAAATGCCACGAGGTATGAGGCCACGGTAGCTTGTCGACGGGAAAGAAATGCAGGAATGCAGAAACTGGCAGAGTCAGCGAACGTGCATGAATGACGAAAGCCAATAGTACGTATGATTGAGAGATGCAGAAACCGAAACTGCAGAAGTTGCGAAGCTGCAAAATGACGAAAAGAACTTACGGTTAATCGATTTTTATTCCCCAAAAGAATAGCGATGCGAAGTGAAGAAATGGACAATGCGAAAGAAGTGCGATGCGCAATGCCAGAAGTGCGGAAAATCGATATCGGTTGCTTTTGTCATTTCTGCCAGATGTCGCTCTTCACTTTCGGCATTTCTGCATTTCTTCAGATCGATACGTATCTGTTGCTTTTCGTCATTTCAGCACTTTCCGCACATCTGCAGTTTCCCGCATTTCTGCATTTCTTCACGGTCGCAAGCTATGAACGCGGCCTTAGGCGGACCACTTGGATCGCTGGACTGTCTATAGTCTGCCATCGAGGGGGGGGGGGGAATAAGTTAGGGGAACGCGGGACATCGTACCTCATGGCAGGAAAGACGGAGAGAGAAGGTTATGACTTCTGCGTAATTTCGTTTTGCGTCGATCTCCAGAGGCTTATTCTGATCGAGAATATGAAGGAAGCAAAAGCGGGGAAGCGAAGAGGGAATAGTGAAGGATGGGAAGAGAGGGACCTCGGCTAACAGTATCCTTAAACCAGACAGAAGGGGTGCACTACTAAATCGCTTACTGCTCCGCCCGAGACAATTCCAAACAGCGTCTTTAAAGCTCTAAGTCATTTCTCATTTCTCCTTTTGCGCCAAATAAAGTCAGTGAAAATAAATGAAATGAATTGCTTCGGGCAAACGGCTCGAAAAAACCGAAACAAATGCACAAAAAAATTCGGCGCTGGCCCGAGAGCGTTAAAGACGAGTTACTTCTGCCAATACGTGGGAAGACAGTACGGAAAAGTGTGGATTTCAGCGAGTGAGAGAAATCCGCCCGACAAAGAACAATCTCTGCCACCAAAAGGACTTCGTATCACTGCATCCCCAAATTGCACAAGTCCTTTATATGACCCCGCCCCAGAGCATTTACCTTGTAATGTCACGACGACGTCGGATGAAGGACTTTGAAAAGCTATCACAGAACATTGTTCTGGCACGGTTCGGCTTAGAGGGAGCATTCTGCACTTTCGCTGGTTCCTCTTTATTTCAGGTTAACTAACATGCCTCCCTCTGGTGGAACCCGAAATTTCCTGTGAACCTGCGAACCGTTCCAGTGATCCACTTTGGTCACAGAGTTTCAGTTGCCTACCAGGTGGGCGGCAACATAACTTGAGTTGGCTCGTATTCGGTGCCCCACCAAGCAACTGAGTCCTCTTACAGTTTAATACTGAACTGCCCTCTGGTAAGTGTTTCTCAAACTGTCAGCAACTCTCTCGCAAGACTCCTCCGATCTTTCACTGTTTTGTTGACTTGCGCTTTTAATTGAGTGTGGACTATTCACGCGCCACCACGTGATGGGGCATTCGTAAGCGAACAGCATCACGTGCTTCAGAAAAACCTCCGGATTAATACCAACGAACACGAAATAAGTGGTATGAGCGAACTAGATTGCTGTGCGAAACTGGCAGCTCATCGAAGCCTCAACTGCAAATATCCCAATGAGGGAGGAAGGGGTAAGAAGAAAAGGTGCATTCCCCAGTGGTGGGGGTAATTTTACTGATTCCCATCGATCACTGCCCCAACGACTCCCTGTATAGCTCGGATTTCCATGAAGGTATGGAAGCAGTCCGTGTCGAGCAGCAGGAGGCTTTGGTTCCCTTGCCAAGGTCCACATGGTTCACAAGAAGGGGACGTATTCAACAATATAGCAGAGGAAGCAACTCAAGCGCAAATGATGAGCATTCCCAAGCGACGCGCATATATTGGTCGTACAGCACACCCTGGCGTTCAGATGGGATGACGTTTCTCCCTATTTCCTACTAAGGCTCTGATGAACAGTTGACTGTTGTCTGTCTCCTATCGTGTCTTTTTTAGGTCGGTTCCTTTGATCCTGTGATTGCGTTTGGGCGATGACAACCTGGAAGGAAGAGAGGAGAGGGGGGGGGGGGTAAAGGTTCCCCAGGATAAAAGCGGAATTAATATCATCTGAAAGAAGTACCGTCCTTTTACTTCGTTCTGCGATCTTCAAGATCACCCCTTATAACTTTGGCGAATGGCCACCTACGCTCTTTCCATTAATGGGTCCCTTTGAAATGAATAAACAAATGAAGCTGTTCGGCTTGGGATGGGTATTTTGCACTCCGCTAGTTCTTGTTAAAATTACGTGCCAGATCATGGTGAGAGCTGCAGATTTCTGTCAAATGTCAACAATGCTCCTGCTACTGTATGGCATTGCAAGAATTTACAGGCCTGCACAGGAGGCATCCATAGAGATTGATGGGAATTAGCCGAAATGCCCCCCCCCCAAACCGAATAGCGCCAAGAAGTTGATAATTTATTGAAAGAAGTGAACGCTGATTGTACCTGCATCGCCAGTAAATTATGAGGTGGTGGCGGAGCACCAGCACCATTTGGGGGAAACGGTTGTGGTGGTGGCGGCATAGATTGCGGCGGTGGACCGCCTGCACCTGGAGGTCGTCCGGGAAATCGTGCGCATCCATACCGAATCCACGCAAATTGGAGATCGACACGGTCGATCGAGACGACGAAGCTCGCGCTGAGGATTCTCGCATCTGGAAAAAGTACATTATGATGCAGAGTTTTAATAACGGCAATAAAATGGAAAGATATCTTTGGGCGCAACTTTACCCGTTAAAGTATTGTAACTTTACCTGAGGAGTCCAGTAATAAAAAAAACCTAGGAAGGGACAATCAAAGAACTCTTTGTGGCGAATTAGAATGCCCCTAAGTGGAAATAAGGTTTTTGCCTGGGCCTAAATGGAGTGGAAAGGTTAGGGGTGGGCAAATCGATTTCAGCTACGATAATCCAAATAAGCGAAACGAGGGAATACATATTTCTCATCCTGTAAATAAGCCGAGACATTCAATAAAGTTCTATAAGCAACTGCAAAATTATATTTGTATGTTGTATACAACATATATCACGGAGTTTACTTTTTGCAATCCGTAAATAGTGGTTCACCTAGCCTTGACTCTTCACGCAGCCCCACCACATTCTATAGCTTTTTTTTCATATTTTCAAACCATGAGTTCACAACAAACAAAGCTGTTGTCGCTACACAAGTAGTTCAACAAGCGTTTGCACGTTATTACAGGATGCCCTGGTACGTGGACAGTGATCAGCGAAGTGCCCCTTCTCAGCCAACCAGCGCTCTGGTACAGGATTTTTGCGCACTTCGGCTAGTGGGAAGGCACTTTGCACTTGCTGCTTCCCACCTATCCTGTTGAGCCGTCAAGTAGACTTGTGATTGTGAAGCCATGAATTGATACCAGTCAAAGTGTAGAAACTACTTGTCAAGTCTTGCGAAGAGTACCTGTCAACTCTTTTAAAGCTGTGAACGCCACAACAGGAAGCAGCGAAAATGCAAATCCCCCCTCCTCCATATTAGCCAAACACTGTGTCCAGAGCTTTTTGGGCAGGGAAAGAACATCAACCTGTAATTCACTGGTCCCTTGCATTCATAACCATTATTCAGTCTAGTTCTGCAACAATGCTCTAAGACTAGCGCCGATCGCGGATTACTTCGACCTAAAAGGGTAATGTCCCAGTTGCAATCAACAACACCGGTAGCCTTCACGAAAGTTCTCCTGCACGTTGACAAATGTTTACAACCTGCGCCCTCGCTTGAGCGTATGGGGCAATCTTTAGTCCTTCTTCAGAGCTATTTGGGCAAATGAAGCACTAATATAGTCTCACTTGAATACCTCAAAGAAATATCTTGGTTACAGAAAAAGTTGTTCAACAAAGTTGCTTACTAGACTTAATTAATTTCAAGCAAACAAAAACAAGCGAACCTACTCGATAATTTCAAAACTCTGCTTATTTCTTCCTTAACGATCACAGCAATGATTTTTGAGACCCTCGCTTCATCAAGTCCGTTGAAAAAAAATCAATAAAGGTGACGTTTTTCAGCCATCTGTCGGTCCCCGTCAGCAATCAAAGCCCGATTGCGTTGCGATTAAAAACTGCCTCAGATGCAATAAAAACTGAAAGCCTTTCGTTTCGATAACGAAGATAAAGAATCGCCTAAAGGAGGAAGGGGAGGGGGTCGGGAAGGGAGAAAAAATCTTGCGTCAGCAAACAAACAAACATCTTTTTCGCACGGGTTTGAAAAACCGAACTATCAATAAATATTATTATTTAGATAACGCCAGAATCCAGTACTCAGTCAGCATAG